TTTTCCCTTTTTTTTTTCTTTTTTACTTTTTTTTCCTCTCTCATTTTAAACTTTATATTTTGATCTATCGACTAATTAACATTCTTTTGGACATAATCCACGAATTTATCGTATTATAAAACATAATAATTTTTTAAAAATAATATATAATGGACGGTTTATGGACTAAAGTTCTAATCTTGTGAAATTTTTATTAAAAGTGTATATGACTCGATAATCCGATCAATTTAGACTATCCAACCAGATATAAAAATTGAGTTGGATTGAAATTTTTTAAAATTAAAAAATTAGGTCAGCTCACGAGTTATTTTTTTTTGTTGGGTCAGTCTAACGAACTTGAAAATGTGATTACAATTCAACTCCCACTGTTCGACTTTTAAGATTATTATGAGTTTTATGAGATTTTAGTAATTAATATAATATATATTTTAAATACGTAAATTTTTTAAAATGTGTAAAATACGGTAAATTCTTCTATAATTATTTTTAATTAAATAAAATTAATTTTAAAATAATTCATATAAATGTTCTCATTCGTATAAATAATATTTTTTTTTCTTTATTAAAAAAAATTAAATAGTATATTTAAGAATATTTTTGAAACAAATGAGTAAAAAAAATATAATTATTTTGTATTTTTATTTTTAAAAAGTTTTAGATCATTAAGTAAGGAGAGTGAGAGCGTCGGCGACATTTGAATTTTCATCAAACGATCATTATCATCAGGGCGTCGACAGCCCTAACTCCGGCCAGTCCGCTGGAATCTTCTGCAGAGGCTAGCATCGTTCTTTTTCCGACGGTTCTACGGTCTGATTCTCTCTCTGTTCCTTCTCCCTCTTGTCTTTTCTCGCTTCGATTCTGTCTCTCCTTTACTGTCTGCTCTTTCCCGGGTAATTTTCTTTGCTTGCGTCTGATTACTTGTCCTCTCCCACAAATGGTTCTCTTATTGCAAGTCTTCAGATCTTAGGCCTGCCGTAGCATTATTACTGTTTCCGGCAGAAAATGATCATTGAGGTTTTCTATTTTGCTTAAATAGATGAGTGAACTAATTGGATCTTGGTTCCGTTATCGTTTTCTTTTTCACTCTGTTTAGTTCGCTTGAAAGTGAAGAGTGCAAGTTCTGAGAATGAATTTTCGCTTTCTATTACTTAATCAGCCTTTTTGATGTTGAAATTCGGTCATATACACATCCCAGATAATGCTTTTACCCGCCATTTTCCCCTCAAGGATTACAGACTTCTTTTATCGATTTACTTTGCATATATGATAGCTTTTCTATTTCTTTGTCTGGACTAATTTTGTGAGATCCCACGTTATAAGGGTGTTGAAATCTATCCTTAGTAGACGCGTTTTAAAATCTTGGGGGAAGCCTAGAAGTAAAAGTTGAGAGAGGACAATATCCATGGCAGTTGGCTTGAGCTGTTACAAATGGTATTAGAGTCAGTTACCGGACGTTGGGCTCCGAAGGGGTGGATTGTGAGATCTCACATCGGTTGAAGGGGGAGGAGAACGAAGCATTCCTTATAAGGGTGTGGAAACCTCTCCCTAGCAGACGCGTTTTAAAACCTTGTGGGAAACCCATAAGAGAAAGTCCAAAGAGGACAATATCTACTAACAGTGTGGGTTTGGGCTGTTACAAATTTGATATCCAAAATTTCTTCTTCCGAGGATTAGGAGAACTGGGTCTCTATTGTATATTTGATATCCTCTCCTAGTGTATCTTAGATTGGTTTATACGTTTTCAATGTCATAGTTTAGGAGCTTTTGCTAATAACTTATCTTTCTGAAATTTCAGATATTGGGATTTAGAATCTCCCTTAACAAGAAAACACAATGGCAGAACTTAGTCTGGGTATATTGATAGACATTCTTGATGAGGAATGGATGAGAGACACACTCCCTCATGATGGTAATTCTCAGCCTTCATTTCTCTATAGTCGAGAAATTATTTGTTACAAACTATGTCATTGCTTATTTAGTGTAGTTGTTCTATCATTTTCATAGATCTTCTACTCCCTCCTGTGCTGGTTGTTCGGACTGATGACACCGAGGACTCGAGTATGTCTCCTAACTTATAAGTCAATGTTCAATTAATAACACATGGAAAGACTGTTTCTTTTAATTTTGATAACAACTTCTAAAATGAAGCATGTTTTTCCCCTCGATGTGAGATTTAATACATGGAGTTCCTGAATTTAGTACTTTAGAGAATGGAAAGTAAGATGGTACTAAGACTCCGGATGCCTCTGAATATCTGTTCGCCAATACATTTTCTTCTTCATTCTGTCTTGTGGCTTATTGGTTATTGTGCAATTGTGAAAATTGTGGGTAGGAAGTAATAAACGGATCTTTAATCACTCTGTTAGAAGAACAAAAGAGATGAGGAAGTTCTTTTTGTATCTACTTCTTACCATCGTAGGTCTGATACCTCTTTGTTTACTTTCTTTCTCATTTCTTTTTCCCCCCCTCGCACTCACGCACGTTTGCGCACAAATGTATGTTACCTTAATCTTTTCTTCGTGCATAAAATTTCAATGTACAAAGTATTTAGATGATGGATAAATCCCTTTTGTAAATTTCAAATATCAATGAAATTGTATCTTATAAAATAAAAATAAAAAAAATAGGTGGGAGATTATTGTTTTATGTTGCTAATTATTTACCCGTCTTTGATTCCACTATTATGTGCTTCTTGCCATTAGACAATCAAGGCAAGATCTATAAAGTCGACACCTTAAAGTGCACCGTTCACTTGAAAAACACTATTCAAATACCAAATTATATGCAAATCTATTAGTTGTTTGCTGGAGAAATCAATTTTGATCCCTTTGACCTCGTAACATCTTTGCAGATCAGGAGGCTCAGCCAGTTGATGCTGATACCTGGCATGATCTTGCTCTAGGTAACCAATGAACCTTCTCCTAACTAAGGATTGTCCATTATCAAGAGATTTTCTTCAAGTTAGAAGTCTTATTATCATATTCTCTTGCTGTATTCGCATTGTAGATTTTAAGATCTCATTAATCCATGTTGTAGAGGTTGAAGATTGATGTAGAAAGTGTTTATTTGTGGTAAAACAAATAGCCTGTTAAGTACTCTACATGGATTTGCTGCTCTCTTTTGTAATTCTCGTGTGGAGACATGATATCTATGCCCCTACACAATTGTTTTGCCAAATCCGTATTGGAAAACAGTTTAGATTTACTTCTAAACGTAGTGGTGTTCAAGGAAGTTCTACCATCGAAATTGCTTTGATACTGAATCAGAAAACTTCTCAACTATTCCTCTCGATGTTCCAAGAGTTTTGAGTTTGATTCTTTTATCTAGAAACCCTGATGTAAATTTTGTTCGGTCCTTAAACTTTCAATCTTGTGAGACTAGTTGTCAATACGTACTTGCAATCTTGTTCTTGTTGGAGGTTGTACTTTACCCCATGGAGAGGACACCATTACCTTGTTGCTCACATCGTGATCGATCAGTTGTCGGCTCGTTGGTAAGGCGAGAGCTTCAAGCCCGATTTATGGTTGGTTCACCTCCTATTTAATCTTTATTCTAAAGTTTTCTTTTTGGGTAGTTTGGTTAGAAATTTTGTTTAACTTTTTTTGAATAAGATAGTTTTTTGTTTTTTTTGTTCTCGAACATTTCTAACCATTTTATTACATTATTTGACGTTAGTTGTTTTATTTTTATTAACTCAAATTATTTAAATAATTTTAACTAACTCAATTTAATTTTAATTCATTAATAAGTATATTATTAATATTAGGTGTCCTATCTCAATTACACTTAATAATTATTCTAAAATAAATGATTTAAATAACTTGTATTGAAGTATAAATAAATAATAATCAATTAGTTATAATTATTGATTTGATAAATTTTTAATTAATAAGTAATATGACTATATTAAAGAGAATGTTGGATTTATCGGGTGTCGAATTTAAATTTTAAATCATGTAATCTAGTAATTCGAAAGACGAGCAACCATATATGATTCAGTGACTCGTGAGTTAGTGATAAATGATACCGTTGTGACATGAGTCGATGACACAAAAGTCATGGATAAATGAGCCTTCGATGACTCGACAAGAAAATAAGTCTCCCGACGTCAAGTGTTTGAATGAAGTTCGTCGAATTCCGTTTGTATAGTCTTTCCAATTGACATTTTTCAAATGGTAGAAAGTAATAAAAAAAAATTATCATTTTTTTCATTTTTGTGACTCTAATAATTGTGTGGAGCGGGTTGGTTGAGTGCTACAAATAAAATTTATTAGCTATAAACTTTAGCATGGGCTTTCCTACTATGCTATAGCATAGGATTAATTAGACGGTTCAATTCGTTTCGAGCCGTAAAAATATTTAAGTCTCATCTAGTAGCAAAAGTATATAGGACACTTTTATCGAGCTTTAAAAATTGAACATTTCATTTATAACATTTTGGAAATGATCTATTTTTGTTAATAGGTTGAATTTTCTATTAGCACCATAAAAAAAAATTACATTTACGCAGATGTGCTCAAGAAAATGGTAGAACTAGAATGGTTCCAAACCTCTCGACTGTCTCTGCACCCTTACCTCCTTTATCATTGAGCGGCCGTTTAGGAATTTAAACAAGTGAAGGGTTGTTTCGTTCTCGACAATCAAGTTTATCCCTCATCGTCTCATTGGTCGACCTAAACCCCTGTTATTTTGAGACCATATTTAGTATTTAGAGTTTGCCTCGGTTTGATACTACTCTCACGGCCCACATCGAGATAGTGCTTTACCCCTAGATGTCCAGTCAAATGCTGTACCTCAACGCATTTCTAGGAGAACCAACTAACTTTAGGTTCGAGTGACATTTCACCCCTAACCACGACTCATCAATTAATTCTTCAACATTAGTCGGTTCTGACCTCCACTTAGTTTCAATCAAGCTTCATCCTAGTCATGCATAAATCACGGAGATTCGAGTTTATAAGCGATTACAATTACTCAATGACTAATTTTAAATGAAAAATTTCTCGAGAGGGAGGAAACCGAGACAGTTCTTCCTCCGTAATTGACTTTTCCGTCCCCGTCCCGTGAACATCTTAATGGTTTATCATTAAGAAGTGATCAAACCACTACAATGCGAAGAAATTGTAAGATCATACGATTGATACTTGCAACGAGTTCGAGCCTCATTTCTCAACTGACACGACTTTGAATTACTTCCCCATTCTTACAAACCAAATCCCATTTCTTCATTTTTCGTAGCTCACTTCATCTCTTTCGCCCCTCAAATTCTCCTCTCTGGGTAATTCTTCTTTCATTACAGTTTCATTTCTTCACGATCAACTAATTTCTCTCTTTCTTGCCTCGTTTATGGGTGTGTGTTATTGATGCATCTTGTTCTTAACTGCATTTGAATGTTTTATTATGCTAGAACGATGGGGAAATCGTAGGTTGTGATGTGCTTGATCAGTTTCCTTTTTGTTGGGTTGGATTCTAGGAGCTTGCTTCCCTTCAGCGATAATCGTCTCATTCTGAACTAGTTGAAAATCGATCGTTAATTAGCCATAGTCTATGTCTATTTGGAAATCCCGTGAATGTTATGGTACTTTTAATTATTTTGACAGCTTACGCTCTTCAACCACCAAATCTCTTAGTCCTTGTTCATTGTTCATGGCTGTTGTTATTGTATCGTTGCTCTGAAATCCGGATTTATCCTAGTGGGGTCTGGGTGAAGGTGCAGAACAATGAACAAAGGCTTGTAAATTGGTGCTCTTCTAAGATTTTTTTTCGTCTCAGGAGGATATTAGGTATCGGATTATTAAGGCCATGCAAATCATAGCTTAGGTTGTTCTTTTCATCATTTTCACGCCAGAAAGAATGGAAAAAGCTCTTACTGAGATCCTGGATTCGTTTTGTTTAATCTTTACGCTAATTTCATTTGTGGAATAAACTAAATCTATTGCTAACTGGAATCGAAATCATTTTAACATTTTCATCAAGAAATCATCTTAAAATTTTGATAGTTTAGATTTCTTATCATTGTCTTTGTATTTTTCTTTTCGCAGACCATGACCGTCAAGGTTGAACTCCAGAAGGTGTAGTCTTGGACTGCTCTAGGAATTGCTTGATTTATTTTCATTACCTTCAACTATGTTTATCGTTTTGGTTTAGCATTCTGTCAGGGTATAAGCAGAATATTTATTATGACCGTAGACGAATTTTGGGTCTTAAAACAATATCGCTAAGATAGTATTGACGACCTTATTTGAAGTTCTGTGGATTTCAACTTTACTTTATTTTTCATTTTGTATTACGTGAATCAGATGCTTATGTATTTTTGTACAGATTGGAATTCTTGGGCTTCAGCTAATGTGGCATTTCCTGCATTTGATTCTTAGCTCATTTTACTTTGTGGTTGGTATTGCCACAACACTTGAAAGTTATTTGATATCATGTGGACTCCTACGCAAGTACAATCGTCTTAGTATAGAGATTGTTAAATATCTTGCCATTGTGGTGGATAGTGATGAAGCTTATAATACTTTAAAAATTATTGAACTTCTGCAATGGTTAGCATCGTTGGGCATTAGAAGCATTTGCTTGTATGATGTTGAAGGTAATGATTTTGGGTCCACCCAAGAATTCTGAGCCCTCATTTGAATGTCTTTCCAAATGTGTTGAATTTTATGCTTACTTGACTGTATTTTATGCTCAAGGGGTGCTTAAGCAATCCAAGGAAATCATTTTGAAGAAAGTAAACAATGCGTCGGTGTTTCAGGTACGTGCAAATGTAACAAAGATAGAATTAAACCTAATGGTTCAGTAAGTGACGAAGTCTTTTGCATTCAACCAAGTGTTCATGGCGTCCAAATACTTCGAGGCCTTCTCTGGAATATTAATAATCTAGGGAGTTTCCTAGTCTTGATTCTTGCATGGCTAACAATACTTCGAGGCTTTCTAGGGTCCTTTATGGAATAGCATACTTTTGATTCCATGTGTACTTCTCTTCGATGATACTAAAGATCGCATGTTGGGCGCTTTTCTTTCTTTGGAGTTGCATATTGGTCTTTGCATGAGGTCAGTTATTTCTTCAATAGAACGACACATAACTGCTACTTCTTGTTTTCTATTACACGTTTGACCAAGGAAAATCATAGTAGTCTGCAATTTGAACTTAGGAATTGAATGCTAATAATAAGATGTGCATTGTTCATCTAACTTGGTCATTGCATTCAGTAAACTGATGTAACTCTCCAATTAAACTGTAAGGACATTACTCTGGAGTTCATATCAATCTCTGATGGAAAGGAAGCCGTTGCCAAAGCAGCTAATTTTCTTCTTGAAAATAAGTTCAGAAAAACGAACATGAGCGAAGATCACAGGCGGCGCTTTTCTGAATCTCAGATGACTGAGGCTTTAAAAGCAGTTGGTTTGTATTCTTGGTTATGCTTGATAAGGTTCAGAGTACTACTTTACTCGAATGTTAATTAATCTTACAGGTACTCGTGAATCTGTTATTAGGTTGTGGAGGACCTGATCCCGACCTTATGTTAGTATATGGACCTATACGATGTCACTTAGGGTTTCCTGCATGGAGAATTCCCTACACAGAGATTCTGTGAGTCTTTTTGTTCATTTTTTTTATAAGCAATGGCGCTTTTCACTGAAATGATGGAAGTAGCTAAAAAATTACTACCGAAAAGGTGAAGTACACATGGTGGATAATTACACAGGTTCTATTAAAGAACAGCAACTCGATCATCTAAACTTATGAATACCCAAGCATCCTCCATATCCTTGCCTTAAGAGATCAAAATCTCTTCTTTCTCTCTATCAACAGCTTCTAGAGGAGCAGGGACTGATGCACCCACAACCTCCTTGTGCTGTTATTTAGGGAATGTCCACAAAGGAGTTTATTACAATAGCCATCATGCTTCCCAAGACTTCAATAAAGACTAACCATGTATGTGCTTCAAAGCCATGTGGATTTAGTAAAAGCTTTTCAATATTCTCAGCTTTGAACTCCTTTTGCAACAGAATATCAGGTTGCAAGTCCCTCAGACAACTCTTAATTCCACCTATTTTCCTTGTCGTCCTTAGCTTGCATGTCGACGTCCATATGCATGGGAATTTATTGTTGTTCCTCTATTACATAATTTTTCAGTTCCCTCTGACTTCTTGAGCTTGATCTGTTTATCTTCGCCTCCTTTGTTTTCCTTTTCGTTTTCCTTTTTTCCTTCCAGTGGTCTTCTAGCGTTGGAAGAAGTCATGTCCACCCTCATGTGGCCTTTTTCTGTCTAAAACCTATGATATCAAGCACCACACAAAAGTACCAGTTGGCTTTAAGTGTCTGAAACTCTTTCCCATTCTATTCCATTGTTAGCATCCACACCTTGTACTGGAAGATCCCACATTAGTTGGGGAAGAGAACAAAACATTCTTTATAAGGGTGTGAAAACCTCTCCTAGATGCATTTTAAAAACCTTGAGGGGAAGCCCGAAAGGGAAAGCCCAAAGAAGACAATATCTGCTAGCGGTGGGCTTGGGCCGTTACAGATACCATATGTAAGTTTTTTTTTATGAGAATTCACATTTGTTTTCCTCCCTAGTTGATTGACACTTGACTAGGGAAACATCATCTAAGGCTATTATATAATTGTTCTGCTTAAGATCCATATATATTGGAAATGATTCCTCCACAATTGGACCTCTTTCTTTGTTACCCCATTACATGCTAGTTCCCTATACCACCCTGGGCTGCAAGAAGTAGAATATGACCCATCCGTGGTATGCTCATTCTGTGCTTCAGTCTCTTTCATTCCCCCAGTAACAGAATAAATGTCCTTCCAATAAAGTCATGGTGTTTATTATATCGAACATTTTTACGGTTGTATGCATGATAACGTATCAAAGACAAACATTGGTTTTTTTTTTTTTTTTTTTTTTTTTTTTTTTTTTTTTTTTTTTTTTTTTTTTTTTTTTTTTTTTTTTTTTTTTTTTTTTTTTTTTTTTTTTTTTTTTTTTTTTTTTTTTTTTTTTTTTTTTTTTTTGGTGATCTAAGAAAGCTTATTTGATGATGTGTGACTGTAGAATCTTTACTTATGGAATAAATCAATTTATGCATCTTAACCAACGCAAATTTTATGTATGTAATAAGTTTTCCCTCTGCTTATTCCATTCATTTTTGCAATAATTTTTTGGCCGAAGAGAACTATATGATCTTTGATTTATGTTGTATGCAGACACATGGGACCATTGAAATCCATGAAGTATGGTTCCCTGGTGAAAGCCATTTACAAATTTACCATGGTGCGGCAAAACTATGGTGAGTGACCTCCTATTGCCTTAATAAGTTCTTCTGAAGTTTTGTATATCTCGTCTTCATAATGTTATGGGTATAAACTATGATTCCAAATGATGAAAATATGATTTTACAACTGAATTCCATTTTGATCGTGTTCTCTACAATAAAGTGCATTATCATGTAGCTTCTTTCATGTTTTCCTCTGCATGATTTTGAAGCTTCCTCTGGAAATTTTAGTCTTTCGGGTTCAAGTTGATTGTTGGCTGATATATATTGGAATCTTTGAAGTGATATTCTAAATCACGCGAGACCGGGTAGCACAAGTCCTTAGTCTTTCATTTCTAAAAATTTTCGAGATCAGCTTTCATCTCGTATAGTCATTTGTAGAAGTGCTCGTTTACGACGGTGAGTTCAACCGCTCACTGCTTGGATACCTCACATTGCTCTGTTCTCTCCTCTCTTTGGATACCCGTAGTGCAAAAGTTGTAAAGGTCATAATCCTTTTCATCCTAATTGATGTTTGTTTTTCTTACCCAATCACTTCAGTCCAAGCCTACCACTAGCAGATATTGTTCTCTTTGAGTTTTCTTTTAAGGTTTTGTAACAGCCCAAGCCTACCACTAGCAGATATTGTTCTCTTTGAGTTTTCTTTTAAAGTTTTGTAATAGCCCAAGCCCACCGCTAGCAAATATTGTCTTGTTTGTGCTTTCCCTCAAGCTTTTTAAAACACGTCTGCTAGGGAGAAGTTTCTACACCCTTATAAAAAATATTTCGTTCCCTGATCCAACAGATGTGAGATCTCGCAATCCACTCCCTTCAGGGCCCAACATCTTTGCTGGCACTCTCCCCTCTCCAATCAATGTGGGATCTCGCAACTTCCATCTTTCCTCTTAACATTTGCAGCAAAGTCTTGTACGTCTCCATGAAAATCGAAGGTTCTAGTTTTGGCTTAGTCACCCCCCTTTTAAGGGTAATCCAGGTTCTTCTGGATTGCTATGGCTACACGTTGTAGGCTTGTGGCGACGCAGAAAGACGCTTTCTTCTTCGCCTAATAAGTTACTCACATCCTTCATTTGATAGCCATTCGGATTTTAGTTTTCTATTTTTATAAGTTACAATTTATTGGTTAATATTAATTTATCTGATGGTTTCAACAGGTAAATGAAGTGAAGTATTGAAAGCTTCTGCAGTGATGGAAGGCCAATGAAGCAAAGATAAGATTTAGGAGTTTTGAACACTTAGTTTTATGGATCTTAAATACTAGGATTTTATTATATCATCAATCTTTTAATTACTGTAAAGAAAAATTCATAAATAATATAGGGTACCATATAAAATATAGTCATTTCTAAAAGGCTATGGTAAAAACAACATTTTCTTTTACCTCTTTAATCTTGTTTTTGATTAAAATCATTAACTATAATACGATGAATCAAAGCAATAAGGGTTATAAACGATACGAATGCTTCTACCCTAGCTTTGATCCTATGATCGTCATCGTGACGAATGGACTTATCCTTTCATATGAACATCATGACATGACCTTGAGCTCCACTTTTCAGTCCCAATAGGTTTGGATGTGTAGTAATTCTCTATCCACAATCCACGTATGCGCACATGTACCTATCAAGCGGGCTTGTATACATACCCCTTGAGTTCAACTCATCAAGTTAACACATGTTCATATTACCAGACACCATAGAGGGAAAGGGCGTGCATAATATCATGACGAACATAAATATCATATTGTATGTAAATGTACTAATCATAACAGGGAAGTATCTCGATGCTCCTGACATAGAAATCCCTAAATCTTAAAATCATGACATTTGTGATGCAAGTCATACCTCAATTCATTCATAACATAAAGAGACTATGAAACATGCCTGTGTAATTCTTGTCTTATCTTTCATACTTAACATAATTTACATGACATACACTATATGGATGCATGTGCATCATAAACCATTGAATCATAAATATGATTCAACAACATGTCATAATCATATTATAGAATAACTTATAACATGAAATAACAGAACATGACATTACACGACACGACATAACATAATATAACTTGACATGACTAGCATAGCATAACACAGCACAATATAGCACATGTCAAAATAATTATAAACCGGACATGTGTATGAGCCACAAAGTACGTGTGAATACGTCATGCAATTGTCCAACAAGCCAATAATGAAGTCACTTACAAGCTTAGGGTTGGCCTAAGCTGAGGTCACTACTTCCTTTAGCTTAAATTTGTTCATTGGAATTCAATTCCACTTCAATATAATAAGAGCAATAATCGTTCTCCCTCACTAACAAAGCTTCAAGTTGCTCAAGGCCTCGACATACATAACACTACGTTCTACTGACTCTTCTGTCTCTTCCACTCTCTTTTAGAGAGAAGACAAGTACTTTAGTGCCCCCACACGGGAGTGTTCAACATTCTCAGTTAATGGTATTTCTGTTTCTAACGTCCCTTACTTGGCTTCTGAGTTCATTCCTAATTTTGCTTGTTTGTGTATGCATTTTCCGACCCCAATAGTGAGGTTACTTATTGAGTATTTCCTAAATACTCAAGCCATATGCTACTCTTACTTTTCAAGTAAAGTTGAGACCCCCTTATACGGATAACAACATTGCGGTGACGGCCATGAGACCAAAGCTAAGGTAGATGCATTCATGTTCTTTTTCTTCGTAGCCTTAGGTTAGATAGAGCAAATACTTTAATTTTCTTTGTTTTATTTAAATTCGTGTTATTTATTTTCTACCACATCGTTTTAACGACTTTATATTAAACATGTAAGTTCATGGCCTCGTTATAAAAACTTCAAATAAAAATTTTCATGCATTTTAGATATGTTATGCATGTAGTGGTGACCTTGATTTTAATAAGAAATTATAGTCATTACAAGACATGGTTCCAAATCTACCCCGTTGCACAACTTGTATAGCATACAACCTTAACATTCATTGTCTTCTTTAGACTTTCCCTCAAGATTTTAAAACGCGTCTAGTAGGGAGAGGTTTCCACACCCTTATAACCAATAGTTCGTTCTCTTCTCCAACTGATGTCAGATCTCACAATCAACTCCTCTTAAGGGCACAACTGGGGCTATGATACCATTTGTAATAGCACAAGTCCATCGCCAGCAAATATTATCATATTTGGATTTTCCTTTCAAAATTTTAAAACGCGTTTAATAGTGAGAGGTTATGCTTCGTTCTCCTCTCCAACTGATGTGGAATCTCACAAAAACAGTCGATAACATGGTCGGATAATCTTAAAATAATGAAGAGGAATTATTCACGTCAATTAACCCGACCAGTCCAAAAACTCGAGGTTCCTTTTCACGTAACTTTCCTCTCCATTTCATTAGTTCTTATCTTCGTCGTTAGGTATTTACGGTGAAGATGTCTTTCATTCTTACTATTTGGAGGGAATATTAAGAACTTAACAAGACCACTCAACCTTTCTTTCCTTTTCTTTCTTAAAAATACTTCCATTTAACACGTTGCAAAATGTGTGTGGTTGCATTAAAAAAAATGTTATTTTTACTAATAAAATTGTTGGATGATGAAAGTCCACGTCGGCTAATTTAGGGAATGATCATGTATTTATAAGTGAGGAATACTAACTCCAATGGTATGAGACCTTTTGGGAAGCCTAAAGCAAAGCCATGAGAGCTTATGCTCAATGTGGACAATATCATACCATTGTGGAGAGTCGTGTTCGTCTAACATGGTATTAGAGCCATGCCCTAAACTTAGCCGTGCCAATAGATTGACAAATCCTCGAATGTCGAACAAAGAACTCCAAAAAAGAAAAAAGGAGTCAAGCCTCTTCGAAGGTACGAAGGCAGTCAAAAATGACTAAGACTCCAAAGGAGTCGAGCCTCGATTAAGGGGAGGCGTGCTTTGTTCGAGGGGAGGTGTTGGATGATAAAAGTCCCACATTGGCTCCAATAGGGAATGATCATGAGTTTATAAGTGAGGAATACTAATTCCATTGGTATGAGGTCTTTCAGGAAGCCTAAATTAAAAATTAATATCAAAACATATGGAGATTACAGATGAATTTTATGATGTCATCCATCTTCACAAATTATTTGGATTTTTTTTAATTTTTTTATAATTTAGTTAAAATATGAAACATATGTATGAAATTTAAGCAAATTAATAAGGAATAAATTGCAAATTTAGCCTAAGAACAAACATATTAACACGTTAAGAATTGAGTCTCCAAAATTTGGGGAATAAAAATGTGTTTTTTCAAAGGGAATTTCAATTGGGGGTTACGTAAGAACCAAAGCCCTAATAAGCTGTGTCTTCTTCTCTCTTTAACGCCATTATTGATTCTACGAGATGAAGTAGGTGGGCTGTTCAGCCGTCAAATTGACCACAATGTTGAATCTGTTTCTGTTCATCACTGGGAGCTGCATCAATCCGTCTCAGGTAAATTACTTTTTTATTGCTTCCGATGAAAGGGCGGGACAATTGTTGACGAATATGGTTGCCTTCTCGATTTGCTCAGGAATAATTGCATAGCATATGAGGCTGATGTTTATAAATGGAAAGTGAATCTGTAGGTCGAGTTTTGCGAGCATATAAATTCTTTGCTGGGGATTGAAATCTTTTGCAATGGTAAAATCCAAAGCCGTCGACTGTCCAATTATATGTTATCGGCCAATTGAACCCTCAGACCTTGAAGTTTTGGAGCAAATTCATGGCAATTTGTTTCCGATCCGGTATGTGAATCCGATTGAGGGTTTGGTTCATTTTGATTCTGAGATGTGTTTTTGAAGTTAACGTATGGGTCTATTTCTCAGGTATGAGTCGGAGTTTTTTCATAATGTTGTTAATGGGCGTGACATTGTGGCATGGGCAGCGGTCGATCATAATAGACCAGATGGCAGCACTGATGAGCTTATTGGATTTGTGACTGCACGAACTGTTCTGGCAAAAGAAAGTGAGGTTGGTTTTACCTTATGCTTTGCGTATTTATAGTCTGAGACTCAACATGAGCTGTTAGTTTTTGTAATATTTCATCTAAATATGAACTCCTCGATCGTTACTGTACAGTTCTCTTAATTTTTCTCTTCATCTCATTTTTCCGTTGTCCAAAATGTTGAAGTTTTGAAGTAATGAACGTCAAAAGGGTTGGAAGAAGGAATAAATGCATAAATGCATAACGTATATAATGGAGAAAACATGAAGGTAAAACTTGTGGCATGGAAGGATCACAAAAGAAAATTGAAGTATCTGAATGGGTTCAGGAAGTGAATTCCTTTAAGATTGAAATTTTCTTGCTTTTCGAAGTAAAGGATTTATTAGTATCTTAGATAGTCAATCGTACTTGGGTTGGCATTATTGCTTCAATTTCTAGGTTGGTCGACATTTTACCTTTATATATGCTTGGTGGTTCGTCTTATATTTTCTTTTTCATACTAGAAAGAAAGTTTAAGCTGTTTTAATTCAAGACCTTTGAGCATTTGGATGTATAAACCTTTTGGTGTAAAGCTAATAGATTTGAATATCATTTTTACAGTTTCAGAGTTAACATGATACCAAAAAAGGGTTTAAGATCACTTGAAATACATCATGCTTATTGGGAGATAACGTTATCATAGCTGTTTCATTGACCTTGCCTTCAAGCTGAAACTATTCTGCTGATGTTATGCAAGTATTAGTTCCTATAGGGAGATATTTTGTGACGCCCCTAATTTTCTTAACCTAATTAGTGACGTCAATTCATGCGTGCTTAAGTCATAAATGTGGAAATTCATAATAAACATCTTTAAAATAAGGCCTTGAACTTACATAATCAATTCAAAACAGGAAATTCAGCTTAACATAGTTTTAAATGTAAATCAAGCTTCAGAAAAACACTTAACAACAACTTACTGAAATCCTATGCGTCCTATCATCCACTAATTTAAAATCAAAACATTCAACTGCCCTATTATGCCCCATTCTGATTTCAATGGTATTCTCAATGTTCACTGTCATCCGTTTGGTTAAGAAAATTAGGGGTGTTAGAGTTTGGAGGGAAGCCCAAAGAAGACAATATCTGCTAGCGGTGGGCTTGAGCTATTACACTTTTGGTGTTGTTTATATTTTGATCTGGGCACACTGCTTGGTCACATTGGTGTTGTTTTTATTATAAATCGCTTTTGAAAGAAACATTTAGGTGTGATCTCTTCTTAACAGTGTAACCTTAGATCATACTGGTAAGGTCTTTGGAGATATCTGGAGGTCTTTGTGGAAGAAGTTTGGGTGGACTAAACATTGACGATATCAAAATAAATTTTTTTTCTTTCCACTCCAACTGTGGAGGGAG